ACCCCCCCCCAAAAAAAAACCCTACTTTATTAAAACTTGAAAAGATTAGTCTTTTGGTGTGTAATGGACCCAGTATAAAAAAATACTCTCCACTTGCCTGAGTAGCTTAAACAGCTTTTGCTATTATGAACAAGTAAACTGGACCCTTTTGGGGAAAAAAAGCAAACATTTTTTGAGTTTATTCAGAAGTGGACACACCTACAGTATTGCCAATGCAGTATAACCCAATGCAGTATTGCCAATGCAGTATAACCCAAGCTGATTAAGAAGTGCTCTTGTTGACTTAGGTTTATTATGAGAAATTCTGTTTTTCACATGCACTGAATTGATTTAATGGCATAAAAGAGCTTAAGGCTTCATTGATGGACAAACCTTGTGTTCAGTTCTGAAGAACAGCCATTGTCGCAGTTTTCTTCAGGTCCTGGTGGCTTCAGCTGGCTCTAATGAACCTTTTCTCTTTGCCAATATTTTTTTCACACTTGCAGGCTAATCCCAGCAAGTTACTGTTCTGCATTTTGATATGAAAACATTCAGGTAATTTTATTTGAAGTAACCTTATGGCCTTATGAAGCCCACAACGTTTTTTGTTTAAGTTGACAATGCATTAGGTTCAGGTGTTTCCAAGCATATATTCATAGTACTTGTCTGATTGTATTTTTCATTGCTACTGTCTGGGAAGACTTCAACTTGAAAGTCATGTCGAGCCTCATACCATTCAGCTTTATTTATCAGCTTCAGTACCCCAGAGGTTCATATAGCAGCCACACTGACTACCTTGCATGTTTACCAAGGTTTTTCTTATTGTGGCCTGAAGTTCTCAGCCTTCTAGACTTAGTTCCGTGTCCTGTGTCCTTTATTAAAATGGGTCCCTCTTTTTTGACCAATAAGCTATTTTAGATATTCTTTGATATCTTTGCTTTTAACAGTAGAAATCCAATGAGATTAGATGCTGAAAAGATGTTCTTGTCCTTGTTCTCTGTTGAGGTGCGTCCACAAGGATTATTCCTCTCTGCCTCCTTTATTTAAATGGATAGCTTTATTTATATTTTGATGCATATGCTTGTAAATTTCCTGGTTTTGGGACCACTGTTGCTCGCTTGAAGTGACATAACTTGAATATTTAGGGAGAAATATTAATACATATGATTGAGGTGAGTTTAAGATGTTTCATAGGGGTACTCAGAGGTTTAAGATTTTAGATCAATAGGATTTCTTGCTCCCACTGAAGCTGAAAGTGAGACCTAACTATAAAACTATAAAATACCTCTTTAGAGAACAAAAATTGCAAGTTTTTAAGTAACAATATTTCTTTTGTTGCAAAAAGGGAACACAACTGCCTTTATTTCCATCTAACTGTAGCTCATCCCTTGTTATCATTTTTAACCTTTGATTCCTTCCTTTAAAGATGTCCCTCCTTTCCTCCCTTCCTTCTCTGTAAGACTTTTCCACCTTTTTCATATACCCAAATCTGTCACAATTAATCCTTTCTTCGGCAGTCTGACCATTTTGTTAGAAAATTTGACGACCTTCACATTGTCCATTTCCAGTCTTACCGTTCTTCTTATTCTGATCCTCCTATCTGATTTCCCTTTTCCATCACTGCTATTTTTGCTTCCCTCCACTCCCCAATTCCTCTTTCTCTTCTGGCTTTTTACTATGAAAGCATAAGAATACCCTGGTCTGTTCTAATCTTAAAGCCACTCCTCAATTGCATTTGTGTCTCCTATCATATTTCTTTCTTCCTTCAGCTTATGACATGTTGTTTTACAATCATTTCTTTGGGCTTGTCTTCCAGCCCTATCTTGAATTCTATCCACTTGGTTTCCATTGGAGGTAGAAAGGTTTGGCCTTTTTTGACACCTGTACTCTGTCCCCTTTTGACCTGATCTTTACTGTGGGAATGTTTGATCATTCTTGACATATTGCTGATTCTCAGTTTTGGTCATATGATCATCTTTGGCCTTTCCATTTAGTTCTCTGGCTATTGCTTAAGCATCTGTTTTGCTATAGGTATCCATAGAGTGACTTGTCTAGCATTATACTCTACAAGATGGTTTGAGAGATACTAAACTTAAATTGAATACAAACAGAACTGACCTCCTAACTTCATTTTAGCCCTCATATTTGTATTTTTGGTTCATACTGCCACCATCCTTCCAGTAACTAGACAAAATGTAGTGTCGTTTATTCATCCTTTTTGCCTCATATACATCTACCTTGTCCAGTACCTGCAGTTGCTTCCTTTCCAACACTGGTGAACCCTGTTTTTTCTCTTTCTGTAGGTAGAAATTCTCTTCATTCTAACAGTTCCCGCCTCCTTTTTCTCTGCTCCACAGTCCAGTCTCTACAAAACATAGCTGCCAAAACCATCTTTGCCATATGTTCTGACCTAGTCACTTCTTTGAATCTAGCCAGTGGCTCTCAGTTTCACACTCAGTGTTTTTATTCAAAGTTCTGCTTCATTCAGAGCTGTGTTGGTGAAATATGTGCTTCCTATCTTGTCCTCATCGTATCCAGTACTGATGTAATGTTAATACACCTTTCTTTACAGTCATCCTCACTTCTTTCAAAGCAGATAATTTATATAAAATGCTCTTTGAATTGATTTGATTTTTTAAGTAATTCTTTCTATTTCATAATACTATCTGATAATCTTTGTCTATCATTCTGCTTTCAGTAAATTTCCATCTGATAATGGACCGGTTAGTGGACCAGATGAGCATAACTAATATATCCAAATGGGGAGGTGGAAATAGCAAACTGAATATGGGGCCAACACTTTGACCCTCTCATTTTTGTGTGCATTTGTTTTTCTATACTGTAAGCACTTTAGGGGCCATGACTTCTTGTATTAGCATAAACCTTAGATGCTTGAGGGTAGGAAATAACTAATTATGTACACCTGAGCAATCTTATTTTTTAACTTACGGTGAAGACCCAGTAAATCAATTTTACCACCTGTGATATTGTTTAGTCTAAAAAGTATTGAAAGGTTATTTCATAACTGTTTTATTGCTTCTCTTCCTATCAAAAAGAAATGAAGTGAGAAACATCTTGCTACATACTGGGAAGCAAAGAACTGACATCTCATCCCTGAATATATAGATATGAATCAGACTACTTCCATTTAGCATCCTTTGGAAACAGTGTCTGTATCTCAGCCCTCATGCTCTTTCTTTATTCTGGATCAGCATAGGAGGTAATTTTGAAGAGGGCAAAACCAGGAGAAGAACCCCAAAACATGAAAAGTTTTAACAGGATAAGAGAAGTGTAACTCAGGGAATGTTGTCCTGTGGATGAGCATCCTTTTTCAGGGTGGTGGTGTTTCACTTGGAGTCAGCGTGGCTAGATACCTGGGTTTTTGCAGGGTGTTCATGGTTCTGGTCTTAATCTGCCTTCCAAGGAGCACATATGATGTCCACCCATCTACTTGATAGTTCCTTATACTAGCTAGCTTCTTTTTACCACAACTTGCTGAACTCCACGGCTGGGTGGTCTCTACAGTGAGTCATCAACATAGGAATTGCATGCCAAAGCAGGCATCAAGACAAAGGTGGCTGCTTTCTCCTTAAAGGGTTTGGTCTATTTTGTAAAACATTAGAGAAGCCTTATTTTAAGAAGGCAATGTGGAGTGTCACATAGTGAGAATATCCTTCTCTGTCCTGTTGCTTGATTCCTTTCAGGAAAAAGGCAATTCCCCAAGGTAATATACTCCCCTTTACACAGACCTTCAGAGCTTAATTTGCTGCAACTGAATTTTCTGTAGAGGTCTTTCCAAGCATATCACATTGCTCCTCTTTTACCAAGTCCTGTTAAAACCAGAGTATCCTCTTTGCCAAGGTTTAGAACTCCTGAGAGAATGTCCTGTGAATTATGAAGCAGTATGGAAGAGAAAGCACTAAATGGAGGTGATCTGATTTCATGCCTTTACGTTCAGTGATGTCGTCTCAGTTACTGGCTTTCTAGCCACTCAAATATTTATCTGTTTCCTGCCCTCTGCCTTCTTAATTTCTCTTGATTTTTTTTTTTTCTTTCAATAAGAGATCTTATCCTGTTGTCCCTGAAAAGTGCAGCTTGGGATTCCATTTCTATTATTTTTTTTGAATGTTTCCAATCTGGATTCTCTGCACCTGTTAATAACCAGCAAGATACTTTGCTGTTGCTTACTAGGACATATTCTACTTTTGAAACAACTTGCTATCCTTCCCTAGCTGGACAAGATGTTCTTTAGTGATTGGGTCATTTCACAGCATGTATGGCTTTGGAGAGTTGACTTTGTGCTTCATTCCTTATATGAGACTTTGATGTAGTTTGAGGTTATTTGCGGCTTTCTGACAGTGTAATATCAGTGGATCCCTTAAGTCTGGGTTTTAATATAACAGTACTATTCCCTGGCTTCAGCAGAGGTGTAAATCAGTTCCTTATATAGTAGTAACTTGATAACACTGAGTTAGTCTCCTTTTTTTAAAACTGTTTTTTTTTAATAGCTCTAAGTGTGGACTGAAGTCTTTAAGGGTGAAATTAATTGGTGATATAAATCCACTGACCTAAAGACCCACTTCTGCATATTGGGATTGAATTTGGCTCTAAATGTTCCAGACAAGAAAACTAAGCTTCTATATCTATTTAATGAAAATGTATTGCTTTTCATTTTACTTTATACTATAATGAATTAAATAAAAGTTTTAACTGCTTGTTAAAGCAGCAGATATGCCTAGTTTTTCTGTGATGTGAATAGTTGTTTCTTTACCAAAAAAAACCCAAAAAACCAAACAAACCAAAAAAAAACTTGGAAGTGTCAGCGAATTCTCAGCCACTATATAACAATGCTAATGAGGACTTTTAGGGTAGGCATCACTTTTTTCATATGCCTAGGACATCTGTTTAACATTTTGGGCTTAAATAGATCAGGCTGTGAAATGTAGGTTTCTTGAAAGCAGTGTATCACTGTTAAAACTAACTTTAATCATTACAGACCAGTAATGGAGGAGGGAGTTTAAGCGATTATTCCTCCTCTGTCCCATCAACTCCAAGTACCAGCCAGAAGGAGCTACGGATTGATGTTCCTCCCACTACCAACACTCCAACGCCCGTTCGTAAACAGTCCAAACGCCGATCCAACCTCTTCACGGTGAGTGAGCCAGGGTAGAGAATATTGCTCTTAGTTGCAGTCCATACATATAAATTAAACTTCCTTCCTGCTAAGTCAAACTGGTCTAGTCTTAAACAGAGGTACCGAGAACATTCAATTTTTTTAGGCAGAAGTTTGTGATTGCTAAGGGTTTTTTTCTTTTGAGGACTTAAGAATGATACCCATAATGAAGTTTTCTTAGCAGGTCCAGGGATCTTCCTGTCATGAAATATAACTTACTAGAGAAACATTGAAGCCCCAGTGAATTAAACCTGTCAGGTTTAGTTCCACAGGTGTGCGAGTCAGATACCCAGACCTACCTATATTTTCCTGAATTCTTCAGTTTCATCTCCTTTTCACTTGTTATCAGTGCGAAAAATGAGCAGGTAGTCCTTGTGATCCAAAAACAAACTAGTTATTTCGGTTGTGTAAGTTTAAGTAATCAGTGTATAGAGCAGCAGTTTTTTTCTTGTAAGAAAATTACATATTGTACAAGAAAACTAATGTATTCTTTACTGGCCTGTTTATGCAATTCAGTTTGCTTTTTTGCTGCCTTTAAAGTTGAGAGATCCAGAGGTGAAGCATCTTGTTTCGACTGATGTAAGAGACAAGGTACTAGATTAGCTAGAACACAGATTTGATCTAGTATAGTAGTTTCTATGTTCCTACTCAAGTTATCTGGAAAGTCTTTGTTAACGTTACTTTTAAGACTTTTAAGTATTCCATTATGATGACCCATATCAATAATGCAAGTAGATCAAGGTAGCTAGCTGTATTAGTCTGGATTGAGGTAGAAGGCAGGGCAGGGTAGCACTGAAAAGACAAACTGGTTCAGGGAGGTGTAAGTTTTCATAGGCAATACCTGACTTCATCAGATGTTGTCATCTTCAGAAAGCTTATGCCTCTCTGAATCAGTTAGTCTTTAAGGTGTTACCCTGCCTTGCTTTCTGCAATACAGGTGTGCAACTGTGTAACCAGCTCTGAATGCTGCTGAGACGCTTACCATTGCAGAGTTGATTTTGATCTAACAACCCATTTTCTTCCTCATAGCCATGTGCCAACCAGGTTCATACATTCACATCTACCTTATATCTTTAGTGTTGTTGAAATACCTGGTGCTGCCCCAATGAGGAAGAGTATGAAGAGTATATACAGAACTACACTAGCAGGACATGGAATTGCTAGGCCTTTAGCAAGTACAAAATGCTAATTGGTGCCTGCTAAAGTTACTGAGTATTAACCATGGAAAATGTGGGTCCAACTATTTTTAGTACCACTTGTGTCAACAACCTGTGACAAACTTTGTTAAAAGTTTCAGTGTAGATAGGTCCTAAAGCATTATGCAAGCAGTTAAAATAATGATTTTTTCTAAATTTAAGCAGGGAGAGAGTGTGGCAGGAAATTAATGGTACCAGAAAGTTTGCTAGGTTTGGGTTTTGACTTCAGTTTGGGAGGTCTTGTGAATTATTAACTCCACTAGATGTCAGTGTCATCTTAGAAACTGAATGCAGGGTAATAAATTTGGAAACCGTCACAATTGAGAATGGTTACAGACCTATTCGGTAAAGCTTGCCAGCCTTCTCTTGTTCTAAATATTTGTAAAATACTCTTAACAGTTGGTTATATATATAGCTATAATTTGGAAAACCAGTCATATTCTCAAATTGGAATAAGACATGCATAGAAAAAAATATTAAATATTACTCTGGCCTGTCTTAAAAAGAGCATTATATAAAAGAAAAATCAGCTCTGTATTCAGTTTACTAAAAATCTAAAATCAATCTTAGTTGGCAAGTAAGATGTAAAATACTATCCCAAAAGAACAAAATTATTAACCTTGTTGAAGGAAGGGTTTAAAAAACTTACAAAATGAAAAATATAATTTTAAAATTAGTGTGTTGAATAAAATAATAACTTGGTATGAACCGCTATAATAGTGGTATTGAATAGTTCTTAGCATTGTTATGACATTGTACCAGTATTGTATAATATTGTAGAAACAGTTACTTAGGAAGACCTAAGTATAAACAGTCACAGCAGTATAATAATTTACATGAAGGTCTATTTTAACTATTTTAAAGAGTTTTTCAGATACTGATTTGGTCTTTAATATGTAGAAGATCATTTAATGAGGTACTATATAATATTGTTGATCTTGGGTATGACTGTAAACTGCATCTGACTGAAGGGCCTGGTGGCAACATGATAGGGCTAGTTGTGGTGGTGTAGCTCCTATAAAACACCACAATGTTGCAACCTCTAGAGTAACATGAGTATAGGCACCTCAAAACCCTACCTCCCACTGTCTTGTGGGTACTCCTTGGTTGGAGAAAGACTAAGGGACATCACCCTGACAGAAGTGCACCCTCACTGATGCGTAAGGCAGTCAGCAGCAGTTCTTATCTGTTGCTCTCTGGCAGAAGCTACAACCATTGAGGCACTGAACGTCTAGACTTGGTCTGGACTTTGAACTCTGTCTTAGTAGTCTAAAGGGCAAATGGTAGGTCTTGAGCAGCCTCCACTCCTCCATACTCTTGGCTAGGCATACATGTTGAAGATCTTGGTGTGATGGTCGAAGGACTCCATACAAGCAGATTCATCAGACACCTGACTAGACCTCTTATTCATACACCATAATCCAGAGGATCGATGGTTGTCTACTATATAATATTGTATCCTAGTGTATTGTACAATAGTACTGTGTACAAGTATAGATGAACTGGAAGTAAGGTCAGCTAGATAGCAATCTGAAATAATATTGAATAAAAGGGTGCCAGATGTCTTCTAATCTTGGGCTGGGATGTGCTACTAAATTCAGATAATCCTGTAAACGTTATAAGAATGCTGTCTTAGACTTTTTCTCTTTGCCTTGTTTACATGAAGCTTTCAGTTGGTGTTTGAAAAAAATAAATGCTGTAGTAAATGCTTTAAACAGCAAATGGATTATGTAACTTCATACCTATTTATATTTTTGGAGTGAGGACAGATCTGTGATTTTTTTGATTTTTTTTTTTTAAGAGATGATGTGTAATAGATGCAGTAACTGGTTTTCATACCTTTATTGTGCATCAACTTCCTATACCGGAGCTGTTAAATTATTTGACTTATCCTTTGGGGGCACACTGTCACTAGATGTAACCTATATAGTATTGGTGGGTGACAGTCACCTATTCATAGACTTCCTGTTAGGCTTTAGGATGTGCAGAGAGTGAATGCTTAATTCTGTTTTAACTATTTTTGATTACAAGGCTGTAGGATCTCACTTCTTCTATGCACTTAACTATCGTATATCAGTGAATCATTGTACAGTTTTAAGGGATAATGACTTAAATTTAAAATTAATACTTTTCTGTCAGTGTTTGTAGTTATAGGCAAATGTACTTGACTGTTTTTCTACCTAGATCCTGTTGCATTATTGTCTATTTGTGTTTTAAGTAAAGCTCTGCCTTCCTCATTTAGCATTATCTGCATTGCAGAAGATGATGTACACGCAAATTATAAAATAAATCCTTCTCCAAAAATGTGTATCCTGTATAAATGACTAATGTTTTAGTAGGCTGAAATTAGGGTTATGCTGCACTTCTGTCCACTCTGGCTTATCTGAAGGAGTAATGGACCAAAGAGAACGTCAGTGTGTGAGGTGCGTCTGGGTGTTTGGGGAATTTTTGTGCTCCCTCTTTAAAAAAAAATGTAGCCTTAATAAAGGAATTGTGTGAAAAGGACAAACAATTTGCAATTAATGTCATAGAATTTGCACTGTCAAATTCTGTTTTCAAATATGGCAGTATATGAGAGAGCTCACTGTTAGGGGAGCACTGTTTGAAAAGTACATTTGCAAGTTTTGCATCTGTATTTATATGCAGTTTCTAGTGTTTTTATAACCAAAGTGGTTTAGCAAAAAATCCTGTGTTTATATTCTATGTATATTTGGCAGCACTTTTGTGTAGGCATTTCACTGTTTCCCCTCTTATTCAATTAATTACATTCTTACTGAAACAGCTTTTATGAAAATAGAAGGGAACAGCAGCTGTTTTTTATTTATTCTTTAGGCTGCACATTACTGTTCATAAAGAAAAACTGAGGGGGTTTTTTAACTAATCAAATTTAAAAGTATTTATGGCAACAGCCTCTTTTTTTTGAAGAAAGAAGGGACTACCTTCATTCCATTCCCTGAATCTGTCACTTTAACTCCTCCATGTACTGAAGCATTGTCTTTTGTGTTATTATTGGGAAGCGGCACTTTCAGTTTTAGAAATCTGTTTTGAAGAAAGAAGAACAATAGCTGTCCTGGCCACTAGGTCTCATCCCTCCCACTTGTTTTGCTTTTTTGTTGTTGTTCTTTGTTTAATTCCCTGGCATGTCATTCCACAGCCTTGAACCATAGTAACTAGTGATAGGAACGTACCCACAGCAGAGCTAGGAAAAGTATCATTTCCTGCTGGGTAAATGTGTTGCTTACAATTTGTGTCCTCTTCCTTCCTCATCCCTGCCACCACACACATACCTCAGGGCAAGTTTAAGTAATTTGCTTCTTTTAGTCCTTTTACCTAATACTACATGAAAAATGGGTACCAGTATTCACGTGATTCAAAATTGCCCCCAATTTTCATTGTCTTTTCTGATGTATCTTTTTAAATATATTGAAAATTAGAATCATTTTCTCTCACTGCTCTGGCTTTTAGCTTTCTTTTGTGACACTGGACACCACAAGTGTATTCATTTCATATATCATCTCCGATTTGAAAAGCACATGAAAATGTTTCCCCATTTTCAATATTGCGTGAGTAATGTTCCCATTGAAAAGTAATGGAGTGAAGTTGTCACTTGTCAGCACAGTTATTAAGGAGGACGACTCTTGGATCTTTCTCTCATAATAAAATAAATCTGTCAGGAAATCATTGTGCTTGCACATTCTCACACCATAAAGGACAGGCATATGGAATACTTCTTAAATTAGTGTTTAATTTTGTATGGCCATGAAGTAAACACTGCAAACCCTAGCCCCTGGAACAGTTTTTCAATTGGTGCTACTAATATTTATAGAACATAGTGATAAAGCAATTTAGACTCTTAAATCTCTCCCTGTACATTACCATTTTTTGCCTATTCTTTAATGGATTATTCTTCATGCTTTTAAACTTTGCCTGTACAACTTAGATTTTTCCCACATCAGTTACTAGCTTCACTTTAAAGTTCGTAATCTCTAACCATCTAAAAGCAATAAAAAAATTATATGCAACTTGATATCAGCAAGAGCGCATCATAAAATTGCCCAGCTGAACAGTTAACAGCGTTTTTAAATCCATCCAGACATTAATTAAATATATAGATTTATATATTAGATTTTCTACATAGGAAGCTAGAAATCTTTTTATTCTTTTTAGCTATTACAGGGGGCTTCAGATATGTGTTCTACTGTTTGGGCTTTATATATAATGTGGTTTTTGTCTTGTCTTCAGTAGTTGAAATATCTGTCCTTCAAAATAAATCCCAAATTTTTTTTTAATGCAAATGGGTGAGGCACATTTTAGAAAAACACTTTGGTTGTTGGGACAGTTGTGTATGCTTAGATTTTTGAGATCTCTTACTGTACCTTAAACTAGTATTTTTTTTATATAATTTTTTTTAAAAGAGCATTCCATCTGTGTGAAACACTGTGCTTAAGAGTGTGAACTTTTCTTTTGCTCTGCAGTCTCGGAAAGGGAGCGACCCAGACAAAGAGAAGAAAGTCCTGGAGAGCAGAACAGATAGCATTGGAAGCGGCCGTGCAATCCCAATTAAACAGGTATGCTGCATTTTTTTTGCTTTCCTGTAGTTGGAGACACACCTCTGGTCTTAAACACTGATGCTGGTCCTATGCGCCAAGATTTGTTTGATGTGCTCTGGTGATGAATGTAGAAGTCACTCACTTGACATCAATTAGGAGAGGTTCCTATGTGTATTAAAATAGGATCATTAGAATAAGAAGAGGGAAAATGTGACAACAGGCCTAATGAAGTGCAGACTGCCGGCCTGCATATGGAGTGCGTTTCTAGGCTGTGCTGGCTTCAAAGCTTGCCTTTGTAGAGAGTGCTTTGATTGGGCCGTTTGCTGCCAGTCGACAGGGGTAAATCAGATCGCTGTACAAGAGCCCCTTGTGATGGCAGAAATAGCCTGATGTGGCCCTAATTTGCTATTGCAGACGGACATCTGAACACTGTTTCAGGCTGGTTTGTAACAACGAGGCAATTAGTTGTGATAATCATAGCCGGTGTGTCAGCTGTGCGCTCTTGTTTGTAATTTGCTAATGAAGGAATTGTAACTTTGATTAGGTTCAGTTTCATTTAGACCTTATTATATAAGAGAACATTTACAGCTGTAATGTGTGGCCTTAATTAAACTTCCTCATTACACAACAGGACTCAAATTCAAGGATTTGCTTTGGCCTGTTTTACTAGCCTGCACACACTTTCATTAGCCCAGCACCAAATGCTAAATTATCATTCTGAATACTGTTTTGTAAGGGAAAGCCAATTTTGGAAATGGATAAGCAGTATATCTGTGTGTAATCGCTGACTTTTTCAATGCAGTTTAATCTGAAAACATGCAATTGCAAAAGCAAAGCATTTTAAGTGTTTGTGTGAGATGGCTTACAAACAGTTTAAATACTGGTTGCAAGTTGTTATTTTTGTGCAAGTTCTCTTCAGCTGGTTAGAAAAAAAGTATCAAGTTGAGAGAAAAGATTCTTCCCTTCCCACACAACAGCTGCATTCTTTTCTTCTGATTCCACTGTCCGTAAGCCAGTTCGATCTTGGCCCCTTGTTCCTTTCTCATCCTTGCATTATGCTGCTAGAAAGACTGGGTTTTCTGGTTTTGTTTTTTAATATTAGTTATATGGCATTTTCTTTCGAAAAAGGAGCTTAAAAGTTATTTTCGCATTATCAGAGAGCAAAATTTTGTGCTATGATCACTACACATCTCTATTAAATGATTTTAATCATGCACATTGCTAATTAACACAGTGATTCTAAACCACAAGTTTTGTGCATTTCACACTGCAGGTGTGGGAGCAGGGTGTGGCAAGAAGGAAGTCAGGGGGCCATGAGGAGGGGTGAAGTTAAACCAAATTTTTCCCCCAAATTTGTCCATGGTACCAGGTTGGTTAAATAGAATCAGGACTCTTTTTCTAGGTAAAATAAGAATTTAACAGTAGAAGTAAGTTGCAAAATGTGACTGCTGTTAATGCAAATAGCAGAAACAGAGAACATTGAAGAATATGCCCTTGCAAGTTTAATCAGGATTGCTTATATTATTTCTTCTAGGCTAAGTACAGACAGTCAAAAAGCCTGAGGCTGAAGTGATTTAATCTTTGCGGGTTTTTGTAAGCTGCTTCCATTGAACTGATAAGAAGGTAAACATACATAGGAGCCAGGAGACACAGTAACCCTCCTCCCAGCCTGCCGGCCAGTGCAGAGAGCCCAGAAATGCATGATTTCCCCAGACATGCCCCTTCTTTAGCCTTCAGTCAGCTGAGGAGGAGCTGTGGGGGGAACCCCCCCACTCGATCCTCAGCTGACGTCTCCCCTGTGCTGGGGAAGGGGAAGAAGGGAAGCCCCCAGTGGGGTTTCTCCCTCTCTGCCTGTGCCAAGAGCCAGTCACCCCAGCCATGCCCCCTCCTGAGTCTGGGCTGGCTGAGGAGGAGGTGTGGGGAGAAACCCTCCCCTCTGTCTGGCACTGGACCCCCAGCTGGGGTCTACCTGGTGTAGGGGGAAGAGGGAACCCCCAGTGGGACATTTCTCCTTCTCCCCAACACCTGGAGCTAGGAGCTGGGCCAATCACCTGGCCATACCCACTCCTTGGCCAGCGGGCCAGCTGAGGAGGGAGTGGGGGGGAATCCCTCCTCCCCCCCAGCTCTGGACCCCCAGCTGGGCTGTGCCAGGTACAGGGATGGGGAAGACCTCAGTGGGGCCATTTTTCCCCTCACTCCCTCCTTAGTTGGCCTGCCAGCTGAACAGGGATCATGGCCAGATGATCAGCCTGGCTCCCAGCTGTGGGGAAGCCTGCAGTGGTGGCTTTACTCCCCAACCTGATCTGAAAGCTGGAGCGATCACCAGGCCATATCCCCTGCTCAGCCGGCAGGCCAGCTGAGGAGAAAGTGGAGGGAAAATAGCCCTCCTTGGCCTGGCTTTGGACCCTCAGCCAGGCTGTGCCTGGCACAGGGGATGGGAAGCCCATAATGGGAGCCATTTTCCCCCCCCATTCCCTCCTCAGTTGGCCCACTGGCCAGGGAGGGGTGTGGCCAGGTGATCGCCCTGGCTCCCGGCTCAGGTGGGGACTGCAGGCTTCCCTGCAGCCAGCATTCCAGCCGATCACCCAGTGACATTTGCTCCCCAGCCAGCAGGCTAGCTGAGAAGGAAGTGGGGTGGAAAAATGGCAGTCTCCTCTCCCTCCTACTTCCACCCCCGTTCTAGACCCCTGCTGCAATCCCAGGAGCAGTACAGTAAGCACGGCCCATGGTGCCGCCACTTTGCTGGAGCTGGCCTGTGTGGTCAAAGCATCACAGCTGCCTGGTGCCTCCTAGACAGAGCTGCAGCCTGGCTCCTTGTCCCCACCCAGCAGCTGGGCCCCGCTGCCTCCACCCCAAGCTCCCTGTGGGTGTCATGTGAGTCGTCCCTGCATCTTCTATGTTTGCCCCGCCTGCTGCGAGTCCTGCATGGCCAGAGCCAGCATCTCCTGCCTGTCAGTCCTGCCCGGTGCTGCCTCTGTGGCTCTGGGCCTGTTCCACTCACCAAGCTGTGGTGCAGGGCAGCAGCCCCACTGACACAGGAGGAGGGAGGGGGTTCACATCACTGCCTGCAGCTCTGCTCCCCCAGACTGTCCTGCAGCAGGGGCCTCCCCAGTGAGTGCGGCCCACAGCCCAGTGGGTCCTGGCATGGCTGAGGGAGAACACTCTGACTGGGAGAGGATGGCCTTTCAAGGAGTGCATCGGGGCCTCTGCTGCCTGAGCACCAGGTCTCCCATGGGCTCCAGGCCCACCTGACGATGCCCCAGTGGGGGCAGGGGTGGAGCCCACAGTGGGGGCTTTACCCCTCTCACTTGAGCAGGGTGTTGGGTGATTCCCCAGCCATGCCCCCGCCCCGGCCTGTGGGCCAACTGAGGTGGGACTGGGGGTGGAAAAATGCCCGCCCTGTGCCCAGTGGAGGGGGAAGCCAGCAGTAGTGGCTTTACTTCATAGCCCTAGCTGGGAGCTGGGTCGATTTCCCAGCTGAAGAGGGGGTGAGGCAGGGGAATGCACTCCACTTCTGGCTGCTGGGAATGGAAAAGTCTTTGTTGATGGCTGAGGGTGGGGCCAGCCATGCTCATTGGAGCAGAAAGCAAAGCCCAGGGCTGCACAGCATCTTGGGATGTTGAAGGACTGTAAGTTAAGTTGAACTGAGAGGGGGTTTGAGGCAGAAGTTTCATAAACCGGTTCGACCTAACTCATTTAAGTCTGATACTACATTCACCAAGTTTATCTTAAACCAGTTTTGGCCATGTTGAAACTGGTTTATGTGCACTGAAGTTCTGTTCTCTTACAGGTTTAAACCAGTTCCTGATCACGTAAACCAGTTTATATGTCCTTAGTCCCTAGTCCTAGAGATTGAGGGCTGGTTGAAAGGTTGCAGGCTTCTGATATAGTATTTTAATGCACATATGGAGGAAAACCATGTCTTTCATGGATGTCATAAAATATCTACTATATACAATAAATGGGACGTCAGGTTTTTTAGAGGGACCGCTTGTGATTTGAAGATGGGTGAATGATTTCTCTCCCATTAAACAGTGTCACTTTTTAATCCTTGGGTTTCTTCCATTAGCCCCAATTATAGTAAATACACATGTATAAGTACAAGCAACTCTCAAATAATCTAGCAGGTCATCAGTCAAAAATTTCTCCTATTCACACCAGTGAAGCAGGAGAGAGGTAAGGTATGGTGGCACTGCTGTGCCAGAGCACTCATCGGTGAATTTAGCTCTGCATATTTGAGTAGGAGAGGGGATTTGTAGAGGGCTTCATACGTGGGGGGGGGGGGGGGGGGGTCTCCATTTTTGACAGTAATCTGCACCAAAGATCAGGAGAGTCATCACAAATTAGCAAATTACATGAAATAGGAAGCAGTAGAAAAAAATGCTATGTTAGCCAAATGAGGGTACTTCATCAAACAAATGTACAGAAGCAGCTCACTTATCTATGCTAATAGCATTGACCCCGGGCAGACTGAGGTTTCAACTAATGAGTATTGGTGTGGGAGAAGCTTAAGCAGTACTGGGCCTAGCCTTTTTTTGGTACTCTATAGAGTGCTGAGGAGGTACCGTGGCTCTACTGCTTTGGTCTCCAGAAAGTTTTTGTTTATCAAAGCAGTATCGTACGCTATATCCTTATAGATCCTTATTGCTTTTTCAATTTTATTTTAAGAAAATTTAGTTAAGGGTCAACTCTATTCCTTTTCTTAGTTTTACAGAGATTGTTAATGGACTGCCATTTTTTATCTTAATCTCCTTTATTTATTTGTCTGTTGTACATTACCTAGTCTTACTTAATTTTCTTAGTACAATGCAAACAGCTTCTGAGTCTACTTAGTTTTTATACAGTAATAATTAAATATTTAAAAGTATGTACAAAATAAGAATCTTTCAGTAACTGTTAAAAAGGTACGTTAAGTTGAATCTGGTTTATTAAAATCTAGTTAATATTTTAAATACATTTGTTTAAAAATGTATTTTGAGTACACTTTCAAGTTTTACTCTTGTGAATGAGGCAGATGT